TTTAGTTTTACAAGATAAAAAAGTTCCAGGGGTCAGCAATGTGACTATAGCTAACACATACTGAACTGTACACTTAAAACTGGTAAGATGGCCGAAACCGGTTTGGCTCAGTGGTAGAGCATCAGTCTGCGGACTGAAAGGTCCTGGGTTCGATTCCGGTTAAGGGCATGTATTATACCTTGGTTTCAGGCACATCTCCGGTAGGGGGTGTGCAAGAGGCAGCTGATCGATGATTCTCTCTCATACATGTTTCTAACTCTCTATCCCTCTCCCTCTTTGTAAAAAATCAATAAAATATATTTTTTTAAAAATGATTTAAGTTTTTTAAAAAAATATATTTTATTGATTTTTTACAGAGAGGAAGGGAGAGAGATAGAGAGCCAGAAACGCCGATGAGAGAGAAACATCAACCAGCTGCCCCCTGCACACCCCCCACTGGGGACATGCCCGCAACCAAGGCACATGCCCTTGACCAGAATCGAACCCGGGACCCTTCAGTCCACAGACCGACGCTCCACCACTGAGCCAAACCGGCCTCGGCAAAAAAAAAAAAAAATGATTAAGTTTTATATTGTATTTTTTAATACAATAAAAAATGTTTAGGCTGAAGCAAAACAGCAAAATATTAAGCCTTAATAAAGTTGGGTGGTGATTTTAAGGTGTTTGTTATATCTCCAACTTTCATTTACATATGTTTGTAATAGTTCATAATAAAACATTTTTAAGTAGCTACTTTAAATGGACAGATTTCTATAATTTTGAGGCCCAGTGTAATGACAATGCAGAATTTTGCTCTGTGTTCATTTTGGGCATTCAAAATTAAAGTTTCTAATTCACTGGTAATAAATTAGGAGTTAATATCATAATTCTGTTGAGAGAAACAGACAAATGAGGAAATGACCAACCACAAACTAACTCCATATATTAAATATCAACTGATAATGTAAAGACAACAATTGGGAATTTTAATTAGAACCACATTTTTCTCAGATTATTAAAAAACATCTAGTCAAGTAAAATCATTCAGAGTCTCAGAATTGACTCCTTTGTTTCTTTCTAAGGAACTGCCTAGGCAAAAACTGTTTGCCAATTGAGATTAAGTACTGTCTTTTTGCTTTGTTCTTTAGGACCTAAGGCTGTCATAAAGTTGTGTTTCTTTTTCCAGTTGAATAAAAGGGAAATTGCACTTCACTGAACAAACATTTGAGCACATTACCAAATATTGTGCAAGTTTACCAAATTCCTGATCTTTGGGATTTTGTGTTCTAGTCTTTAATTTGTAACAAATTACCTTCACAATTTACCACCAGAAATAATATTACTAAAAGCTTCATTTTTTAAACATACAAAAAATTGCTCTTGGATAGCAGATGCCTTCTTTCTGAAAACATTTTTGTTCTGTTGAGGTTACGAAATGACCCACTTTGGCAAAATATTAAACCAGGAAACTGTATGACTAACTTCTGGCAACTGCTAGAACTCCCAGCAATGTCATCATTACCAATCATGAATCTCCAATCTAGAACATTCTCGAATCAACAAGTATGACTCAGGAGAAGCTGGGAGTTGGCGAAACGAGCTGACTCACTGCTGGGTTTACAAAAATGAAAATTCATACTTTCTACAATAAACATGTTACCAACTACCTCCTAGTCCAAAATTATCTTAAAGAAATGTTATTTCTGTCTCCTGGTTATTAAAATAAGTAGACCTTACCAAGATTTAGTAAATTTAATGTAAAGCTCTCTAGGTGTTAGCTCCTATACCTGTCTGTATTGACATCGTTTCTTAATGTTGTGCTTAGAAATGCTGTGATTTAACCGCCTTTTCTAAGTGACATCCAGCTAATGGCATTGATGCAAATCTGTAAAGGAGTCTTACCAGGAAGGCCGGTGTGGCGAGGCCGTCCGCCGTGTGTCTGCAGCCCCAGCTCCGGGCTCAGCACCGGCCCCGGGGCCTCCGAGCCGAGCAGCCGCCCCTCGCGGCCCGGCCTCGCCTCTCGGACCGGTGACCGGTGACCTCGCCGGGGGACACACCGGCCCCGCTGGCTTAGCCGCCGTTAGTGTCACTCGCACAAGCACTTTAATGGTAGACATACTCGTTATTTCTTGTACGTGAATTCCCAGTCTCTTGAGGAGGGCTCCGCTCCCAGGGTCACAGAAACAGCGAGGGGCCGCAGCCCGGGGCCTAAGGGGGGCTGGGTCCGGCCGGGGCGCCCTCGGAGGGTCGGACCCACAGACGCTTATGAGGAAGGGGCGGACAGAAGCCTGAGGGGATCCGGGGCAGGAGGCTCGGGGAAACAAGGCCAAACCGTGCGGGCAGTCTGGAGCCATTGTTTTCCCCAGCGCTGGAGGAATGATTAAAACAAGCGCTGGCGACAGAATGCAGAGGGCGGGGGAGGGGAGGAAGGGAAAAGGGCAGTTTTACCCCTGAGCCAGCAGTCTCAAGGCCAAGCGCTTCCCATGAATTCTAGGGAGGCCACAATAAAGTAAATATTAATCTGTACAAAACACCCACAGAGGAGCTCCGAGACCTACAGACCCCGTCTGCCTCAAAAGCCTGAGCACAGGCTCGCTTGACTTGCTTTTTCAATACAGCTGCAAGCTTTCCTTGCTTTAACATACTGGCTTTTCGCAGCGCAGCCAAGGGCCTTCGCCTGGGGTTGGGCATTCCGAGGCGGGAGCGGAGGGCCTCCCCACCTCCACCGGAAACACCCTGCTGGCGCGGAGGCGCGCCTCTGGGGCGCACGCGCACTCAGTCACCTAGCGACGTCAGCTCTGCCTGCCCGGAGCCCAGCAACAGCGGAGCGCCGAGTCTGCAACCAATCACCGCCGGCCTGGTGTTCACCCGCCTCACCAATCAGCGCGGGCGCCGCAAGGAAGTTTCCAGAGCTTTCGAGGACGGTTCTCTCAACTCGAATTCATCCGCCTGATGACTTACCTACTTTTTCCCAAAGGAGGAGAGAAATAGCCTGGAATAGAGAGGAGCTTGATTTTTAGGGTCCCTTTTGCAGATTCTGAGGAGTTTGGGGCCTAGTGGAAGGGACTAACTGCGTCGCGGGAGGTGCGGCCGAGAGAACTATTTTCAGTGGCGCACGGATACGGCGGTTACGTAGGAGTGATAAGTCCTCAACAGACGTTGCATAAATTTCAGCTCCGCCTAGCCGGAACTTTCAGAAGCGCCGGGCATTGTCGGGGTTGTGTCGTTGCTGAGGCGGCTCCACGGGATTGGACTTTGCGGCATTTTCGCACTCGCTAACCGGTACTGGCCGTAGCCTTTGAGACCTGTCGGGGCGGGAGCCGGGGTCCGAGGGAGGGCGGGCGGGCGGGGGCGAGGGAACTTGAGTGAGGAAACCGGCCCGGTCTCGGGCTGGGTGGGCCTTGGTGGGGGAGGGGAGGAGCTGACGCGGCGGCGCGCGCGGCGCCGGGCCTTTCCGGAAGGTGGGCCTTGTTTACGTAAAGGGAGCGGGGGCGGTTGGCGCGCGCGGAGAGGGGCTAACGGACGCTTAACCGATGGCGGTTCCATCGTGTCTGTTTCAGAGGGGGAAGGCGGAAAAACGGTAGGGTGACTTCTGGAAACACTTTCATTTCGAGTCGCAGCACAAATATCGCTTACCAGCTCCGTTTAAAAGGGGATTTTTATTTCTCGGGTTTTGTAGAATTTTTACTTCAGGTGCTATGCTTAAGTTTTGGGGAAATTCTGGGGTTAAGGAAGAAAGCTCTGGATGGTGAAATTACAAAGCACTTTTGATACCTCATCCAGTATAAGCAGCCTTGACTAAGTTAGGATTTTGTATTTGGCTCTGGCCGGGTGTCTATTGATTGGGAACCCCGTACACCAAGAAAAAAGGTGGTGGGTGAGAACCTAGGGATTCGAAAGAGTATTTTTCTCTCTCCCCGTTTATTTTTTCTCTAAAATTCAACAAAAAAACCCTTGGGTAAGGATTTTTTTTTTTTCTCGTCAAAATGAGATATTGCACCGGTGGTTAGAACTCCACTTGGGGACTGAAGGGTTTCGGATTCCAATCTGATCAAGGTACAAGAACCTCGGGTGCAGAGTGGATCCCTGCCGGATTGGGGCGCGGGGCAGGAGGCAACCGATGGATGTGTCTGTCTCAGATATTCTGTCTCTCCCCTGCCCTTCCACACTCAAAAAAAAAAAAAAAATCGCCAAAACCGGTTTGGCTCAGTGGATGGAGCGTCGGTCTGCGGACTGAAAGGTCCCAGGTTCGATTCCGGTCAAGGGCATGTACAGTGGTGGTGGTGGGCACATCCCCAGCAGGGGGTACAGGAGGCTGCTGGTCAAAGTTTCTCTTTGATGTTTCTAGCTCTCTATCCCTCTTCCTTACTCTGTGGAAAATCAATAAAATATATTTTTTAAAAGGTATTTTCACTGTGCCACAAATCTTTTTTTGTTATTAATGCTCACCTGAGGAAAATTTTCCCACTGCTTTTCAGAGTAAAGGGGGAGGGGCACAAGATGCGAGAGAGGCACACATCAGCGCGCGGGGGGAGGGGGGTGATCAGAATCGTCTATGCATAGGCCAACACTAACCATTGAGCAGAACCGGCCAGGACAGGGGTTAAATTTTTTTTTTTTTTTTTTTTTTTAAGGAATTTTGGGTTGATTAACTTGTCTAGTAGGTTTGTGAGAGATGTAGATTAAAACATTTGAAAGAACTGTTAACTTGAATTTTGAAGAATTGATTAGATATAAAATAAATGTAAAGATCCTGAAATGATACACTTTTGCCTTTTGAACTCTAGGTCAAAATGCAAATCTTCGTGAAGACCCTGACCGGCAAGACCATCACCCTGGAGGTTGAGCCCAGTGATACCATTGAGAATGTCAAGGCCAAGATCCAGGATAAGGAAGGCATCCCCCCTGACCAGCAGAGGCTCATCTTTGCTGGCAAGCAGCTGGAAGATGGCCGCACTCTTTCTGATTACAACATCCAGAAAGAGTCCACCCTGCACCTGGTCCTGCGTCTGAGGGGTGGTATGCAGATCTTCGTGAAGACCCTGACCGGCAAGACCATCACTCTGGAAGTGGAGCCCAGTGATACCATTGAGAATGTGAAAGCCAAGATCCAGGATAAGGAAGGCATCCCTCCTGACCAGCAGAGGCTCATCTTTGCTGGCAAGCAGCTGGAAGATGGCCGCACTCTTTCTGATTACAACATCCAGAAAGAGTCCACCCTGCACCTGGTCCTGCGTCTGAGGGGTGGTATGCAGATCTTCGTGAAGACCCTGACCGGCAAGACCATCACTCTGGAAGTGGAGCCCAGTGATACCATTGAGAATGTGAAAGCCAAGATCCAGGATAAGGAAGGCATCCCCCCTGACCAGCAGAGGCTCATCTTTGCTGGCAAGCAGCTGGAAGATGGCCGCACTCTTTCTGATTACAACATCCAGAAAGAGTCCACCCTGCACCTGGTCCTGCGTCTGAGGGGTGGTATGCAGATCTTCGTGAAGACCCTGACCGGCAAGACCATCACCCTGGAGGTTGAGCCCAGTGATACCATTGAGAATGTCAAGGCCAAGATCCAAGATAAGGAAGGCATCCCTCCTGACCAGCAGAGGCTCATCTTTGCTGGCAAGCAGCTGGAAGATGGCCGCACTCTTTCTGATTACAACATCCAGAAAGAATCCACCCTGCACCTGGTCCTGCGTCTGAGGGGTGGCTATTAATTCTTCAGTTTTGCATTCATAGTGTCAAATAATGGCACTACTCTGCATTCTAGCCATTTGCCCCAATTTAAGTTTAGAAATTAACAGTTCAGTAATAACAATCTGTTCAAAATGTTAATAAAAGTTTTGTTGCATGGTAGCATATTTGGTGTCTGTTGTCATGAAATTATATAGTGATGTGGGGATTCCTATATGGTTAAAATGGTGTTTAAGGAAGGGATTTAATTTTGATGTCAATGTGACTAAAATTAAGTCATAGGACTTGGGTAAACAATTGCCAGACTAAGACCAAGATATAGGAACTTGGTCTTAGTCTTGTAATTACCGTGTGCTTTTCTTGCTCAGTAGAGCATTGTACTTAAGTACTTTAGGTAGTAAGATAGAAACCTAATCCTGTCTGTCTTATGTGAAGTCAGAGCCAAGAATCAAGTGGGGCCCTTAAATTTGAAAGAAGGCTGGCTGGCAAGAAACATTGTATGAAAGAAGTTTAGAAGGTTCTGATCTAAGGTGACTTGCAGACACTGGTGTGTGAGCCAGCAAATTAAGGTAGGTCCTAACAATCTTAAGATACTAATAGCTCTACATTATAAGGAAGATAAGATTGCAACAGCAAATGAAATTCTCTAATTTGGGACTTGATAAAAGTTTTACCTAAAGCTAACACAGCAGTTTTTATGTAGCCATACCAATAACACTAGGAAGTAGTATATTGCTGATAGAAGAATTTTTAAAAATATATTTTACTTTTTTTTTTTTTTGCAGAGGGAGGGAATGGGAGTTTTCTACATTAAGTTCTCAACCTCTTTCTCCTTTACAAATAGTTCCCTGTAGTATGGTGGTTTTTCAACTTGAAACAAAATTAAATGTCTGTTAAGGTGATGGGGAGGTGTCCAGGGGTGCATTGTTAGAATATAGAAAACCAAGAATCAGGCCTAGAAATACGCCCTTGATAGTCCAGGTTTACCTCAAAATGACTTGGGACATATTCTGCCTTGGCAACAAATATTTGAGCATAAAAATTGGGAGTACTTAAGTTAGAAACTTGGAGATAGCACTTAATTTTAGACCAATTTAGTGTATGAATGCTTCAACTGCTTAGAGTGGTAATACTTGAGCCAGAAAGGGGGACAACTGCTTATATGTCAAACCTTTGGGGGTGGTAATGAAAACTTTAAAACTTTCCTGATAGAAACTTCAATGATGAGAATCAGATCCTGTCTCTTGCACACCCCCTACTGGGCATGGAGCCTGCGAACTGGGCATGCACCCCGATCAGTAATGAAACTGGCCTGGTTATTGGGCAATGCTCAACCACTGAGCCACACGGGGCAGTACCCTCTTGAATGGAAGCCTGTGGCTGAAGCAGAGGGCATTCTGGGAGGGCTAAGGGAGTGATCCCCTGGAAAGCGCTCTGGGATTCCCCCCTTTCCCTGCTGTCCTGTAGCTCTAGGCTTCTCAGGTGCTTGCCCACCAACTGAGGTTAGGGATGGGGTCCCCAGGCATGGGCCTCTAGGTCAGGCTGTGCAGCGGGCTGGCCTGAGCAGACTTGCCTCATCCTTAGGGGGTCCAGGGAGACTGTTTCGGACAAGGAGACACCAGGAATGCCCTTTATATTTACAGAATCACCTGGGGGTTACTGATGTCCATTGGGAAGGCAGGCGGGTGGGGAGGCCGCCCCCTACAGCCACCCCCAGCGCTGCCTTCCCTTGGTGTCCTGTCCTACCTGCAGCTGCTTGCGTCCCACCCTCCTCCCTCCCTGCTTCTTTACAGCCTGCTATGGTCCACAAGTGTGTTGGTAAGTGAGAAAGAAAATAAGTCGAGAAACAAAACAAAAACTTCCCTGCCTGGCTGTGATTCAGTGGTTGAGCTTCAATAGGAACCCAGTTCAGTTTGCTGTAGGGGCACATACCCAGTTTGCAGGAGGTAGCTGATCAATGTTTCATTAATGTTTATATCTCTAAAGTCAAAACATTTAAAATAATTTTTATTGATTTCAGAGAGGGAGGGAAACCTTGACAATCATTGGTTGCCTGCCTGTTTCCTACATGCCCCCTACTGGGGCTCCAGCCCTCAACCACGGACATGTGCACCTGATTGGAATCAAACCTGGGACCCTTTGGTCTGCAGGCCAATGCTCTATCCACTAAGCCAAACCAGCTAGGGAAAAACTTTAAAAGCCTACCTTAGATTTAAGGAAGGTGACCTCTCCAGTTAACTTGCTGAAGGCTTAGTTCCTGTTAGGGGGAAACCAATGATTGGAATACATAGCTCAAAAAGTCTATGAGATTATGTTGGGTTTCTAACCCCTTCAGAATGTCCAAACTAGTGCTTTTATTAAGCAGGCATTTTGTTGAGTATGTAATAATTGGAAAAAGAGATCTTTTAATAGTAAAGTGAGTTTTTAAAGATTGGTGTGGCTGACTTTGTTGCTTACACTGAAAAGTCACAAGTTCCATTCCCAGTCAGGATATGTACAGAAGGCAATGGATTGATGTTACCCTATCACATCAGTGTTTCTTCCTCTAAAAGTTCATGTTTAGCCCTAATTGATTTGGCTCTGTGGATAGAGCATCAGTCTGAACTGAAGGGTCCCAGGTTTGATTCCAGTCAAGGCCACATACCCAGGGGCCTGGATTGCAGGCTTGATCCCCAGTAGGGGGTGTGCAGGAGGCAGCCAATGATTCTCATTGTTTCTATCTATCCCTTTCCCTTACTCTATAAAATCAATAAAAATGTGTGTATTTTTAAAGTTCATGTTTAAACATTTTTTCCTAACACTAATAAAAGCCTTGATTAATAATCTTGAATAGGCTCTGGCTGGGCAACTCAGTTCTAGTATTGCTCCTATATACCCAGGTTTCTGGTTCGATCCCTGGTCAGATACAAGAATCAATGAGTACATGAATGGAACAACAGATTGGTGTTTCCAAAATCAATAATTAGTGGCTGAGCATTGACCCATGAACCAGGAGGCCACGGTTCAAGGCATGTGCCTGGATTTAGGGCTCGATCCCTGGTGCGAGGCAAATGGGAGAGAGACAGCAGATTGATGTTTCTATCCCTCTTCCTCTCTGAAAGCAAATATGTTTTAAAACACACACACACTGAAGATTCTTGGCTTCAATTTCTGGTCAAGGGCATGTATCTGGGTGGCAGGTTTGATCCCAGAACTTTTTTTTTTTTAATATATATTTTTATTGATTTTTTACAGAGAGGAAGAGAGAGGGATCGAGATAGAAACCAATGAGAGAAAAACATCAATCAGCCACACACCCCCCACCAGGGATGTGCCTGCAACCAAGGTACATCCCCTTAACTGGAATCAAACCCGGGACCTTTCAGTCTGCAGGCCGAGGCTTTATCCACTGAGCCAAACCAGTTTCTGCTGATCCCAGAACTCTTAACGGGTGTGTGTTGGAGGCAACAAATTGATGTGTCTCTCTCCCACCCTCCTTCCCTCCCTCTTTGACTCAAAAAAAAAAAAATCAATGGAAAAAAAAATCCTCACATGAAGATTAACAAAAAATCTATATAAAAAGCCAGTGACTGGGACTCCATGACTGGTTGCTGTGATGTCCACTGTGATCAGGGTTTGGGGCTTGCTGGCCAACTTCCCCTGGCCCTCCCCCTGATTGCCCCCCATACCAATAGAGGCGGGGCTGGCAGGCCAACTCCTGCGGGCCCTACCCCTGATGGACCACGTTGGACTGCAGCCCCTCCCCCTGGCTGGCCCCACCTCTGATTGCCCCCCCCCTTCCCTGGTCCAGTAGGGGGCGGAGCCAGCTGGCCAACCTCCTGCAGCCCCTCCTGCCTGGCCCCATCCCAGATTGGCCCCCCATCAATTGAGGGTGGGGCTGGCCCACCAACCTCCCACCGCCCCTCCCTCAGATGCTGATCTCCAATAGGCTCCCCATCCCATTCAGGGGATCACTCCTATTGGGACCGGGCTGGCTGGACCCCACTTGTGCACAAATTCATGCAGTGGGCTTCTAGTATATAAATAAAAATATAAATACAAAGAATAAAAGCATTTCAGCTGAAACCGGTTTGGCTCAGTAGATAGAGCATTGCTCTGCAGACTGAAAGGTTCCAGGTTGGGTCTGCAGACTGAAAGGTCCCAGGTTCGATTCCCGTCAAAGGCATGTACATTAGTTGCGGCCACATCCCCAGTAGGGGGTGTGCAGGAGGCAGTTGGTCGATATTTCTCATCGATGTTTCTAGCTCTCTATTCCTCTCCCTTCCTCTCTGTAAAAAATCAATAAAATATCTTTACAAAAAAAAAAACACATTTCACTGAACAGTATTTAGTTTGGGGAAAAAGGACTTGCACAATTGTGATTTCTACCAAATTTTCACTACAGCTTGACATGATAATGGATCTTGTGAAAAAGGTTTTCCAGCTGTTCCTGTCTCTTAAGTCTCAGGATCTCTTCCATAGGAGTCCCCAAAGGTATTCATGGGTCTCGGCAAATTCATCCTACACACACTTGAAATTTGAGCAAGGAAAAGACACTCCCTGTGTCTCTTAACTATCCCCAATTATTATCTTCATTGTCTACCTTCTGTTTAGGAGTTCATTAATATGTTCTATTTCTTAAGAACTTTCTTGAAAGGTGCTTGTGTGCTAAGTTGTGTTAAAAGAATGCTTGCTTGCCGAAACCGGTTTAGCTCAGTGGTGGAGCGTCGGTCTGCGGACTGAAAGGTCCCAGGTTCGATTCCGGTCAGGGGCATGCACGTTGGTTGCGGGCACATCCCTGGTGAGGGGTGTGCAAGAGGCAGCTGGTCGGTGTTTCTCTCTCGTCGACGTTTCTAGCTCTCTATCTCTCTCCCTTCCTCTCTGTAAAAAATCAATAAAAATATATTTTAAAAAAGAATGCTTGCTTGACATGCTGAAAGCAAGTTTCAGTAGCCTGATGCCACTCTAAGATAAAGTTTTTGCAAGTTCTCAGTGAAATGAAAAATAAGTGAGAACAGTACAATAGATTATACATAAATTATGA